GAGATAAAAAGGCTGTAGGGATATCTCTCATTAGAATTTGAGATGAAGGATTTAGGAGGCTTGAAATACTTCTTGGACATTGAAGTTACTTGTTCTCGTGACGGTATTTACTTGTCTCAGCGGAAGTATATTCTTGATATTCTCTCTGAAACAAGAATATTGGCCTGTAAACCAGTTGAAACTCCTATTGTGCAGAATCATCACCTGCCGATATACCAGAATCAAGTGCTTACCAATAAAGAAATATATCATAGATTGGTAGGACGATTGATCTACCTATTGCTTACACGTCCAGATATTGCATATGCAGTCAGCATTGTAAGTTAGTTTATGCACGCACCCAGTAAGGATCACATGGCAGCAGTGATGCATATACTGAGTTATCTGAAAGGTGCACCGAGTAAATGATTAATCTTCAAGAAGCATGGATATATGGAGGTGAAGGGGTAGTTGATGCTGACTGGGCGGGAAACATTACTAATCGTCACTCCACATCAGGCAACTTCACATTTGTAGCAGGAAATTTGGTAACATGAAGAAGTAAGAAGCAAAATGTAGTAGCTAGATCCACCGCTGAGGCATAGTATAGGGGGATGGCTCATGGAATTTGTGAATTGTTATGGCTCATGATTCTTCTCATTGGGATTGGGTTCAAGACTCAGGGGGCTATGTTATTATACTGTGACAACCAAGCTGCAAGAGAAATAGCCAATAATCCTGTACAAAGCATGCGGAGGTAGATAGACACTTCATCAAAGAGAAGTTAGATGTCAAATTGACAATTATATATTTACCTCATAGAGAGAAGAATAATATACACAATTCAAACCCCAAAACACAGATCACTAGTACTTGCTTAACGGTACTTGAATAAAGATTCCTCATCAACTACTAGATTCCAATAAGTTTCAATTCAAACCCTAAACACTTATATCTTTATCTCGAACTAGCTAGATTAATCTAATTATTGGGAAGGAAAGGTATGTTTACAGGGATTGCGATTTACAATAAGACTGAACCCATTGAAGTTTGAAGTATTTTCGAACTGGTCTTACAACTGGTAGAACAAGTTCATCGCAATGGACACAACAGAGACCTGGTTTTGAGGGTCATACATGCTCGTGTAACCTGGATTTAATGCAAGTTTTCTTCTTGTGCGTGGATCAGTTGATTCATGTCTCTCTCTTTTAGAATTTAGAAGTGATGATTGAATCGTTAAGCTAATGCTAAGGTGTTTACCGATTGCATTGTTCATCATCCCACGAGTATTCAATCATATGTGATCGAAATTGGGTTGACCTTCCACCCGCCTGAGTGGTAGGGACGCTCAAAACGTCACGCTTAAACGGTTGGATCCAGCTCCATGCTTGGAGGATCGCGAAATAAAATACAGTCAATTTCCACAAATATCGGCAACAAAGCATGTGAATACTCCAATAAATAAAGTATACAAAATCATCCATTAAAATAACACTTAAAATTTTCCTCATTCAAAACAACATTGTCCAATTTCTACTCCAACAAGGTGAAACTAAAACACCAACAAATCACAAACCCCAAAAACCAAAAACCAAAAGAAAATTATATCCAAGTAAAGCGGAAGGCAATCTCAATTTGATTCACAAATCAATGGCTTAACTTACTTAGCTAGAAGAATAGTCTAATTTTGATTTGGATAATCCTCACTGTGTAGCGAATTTCGATAATCCCATCAATGCTAGCTCAAGTTTAAGGATCATATGCGTTCACAGCGAACTAAAACGTCCCACATTGTGCCGATGGCGAGAACTGAGGGCAAAACAAACTGGGACCCGAAAGCAGGTGTTAGGTCACTGCTCTTGCTCTTCACTGGGGCGGCTTCGGGGGGTGGAGGCATGTTTTCAACTTTAACGGCGAGCTTCATGCCACCATAGCAGTACCCCTTGCTCGTAATGAAGTAGTAGTCCCTTGTCACATTCAGCGGAACCACATCTCTTCCGGCTCCGGTGGTCCAGTTGTGAAGGGGATGTTCAGCATTGCACGAGACATAGTTTGTCTGGTTCACCTCTATAACATCCATTTGGTTCCTATCATAAACAAAAACTAGAGGAAAAAGAAAAATGGAATTACCAACTAGCTCAAAATATATAATTTTCTACTTATTTTAAGTTTTCGTGTAGTATAGCGCGAATTTTTACTAAGGAATTGATTTCCGGACACTCTTGTTCATTTTCGGATTTCCCTTGAGTTGACTAACCAAAAGATACATTAAAATATGAATGTAAATTGTTGTATAACAATCATATAATAAGACAGGAACTGTGACACTGACAGTGGCCCTCTTCACAGAAAAAGCCAAAAAGCCAAGAGGAAAACAACTAGAAAAAGTTGCAGATCTGAATCAGCCAGGATGATAGATACAAAATGCTAGAACATAACAGACTGCCTGTATGCTGTGGACTTTGAAGATAATTACCAAAATTTAAATGCTTCTTACGAAAATTTAAATGCTTCTTTTTCCTTTTCCTGCATATTTTTTTCCGTAGGCAAATCTGAGTTTTAACATTTCAATACTTAAATAATTAACTAAGATTTAGCATAAGCTTTACACAGCAAGAAACAAAATTCAGAAAAACTCCTTAATTGGTAATCTGATTATATTTAAACTGTTTATAACAAATTTAAGCAATTACAGTAACCACACATGCATTCTCATAACTTGAATAACCACAGTTGTAATCTTTTCTTCTTTTTTTCCTGCATTTTTTCAGAGGGGAAAACTGAATTTAACTTGAAGTTTACACATCAAGAAACAAACTTTTAAAAATAAGTCCTTTTATCATCTAAAACAATCAGAAGCATCATCAACCAAGCAATAGAAAATTTGAGCTGTGAATTAACAAACAGAGAACAAAAAAGCATTGACGGACAAAACAACAACTTAATGGATCTGAGAGAAGGGAAGGAAAGATGAGCTTACAGAGCCAGTCTCCATTGTAAAAGTGCTGATCCTTAGCCCAAATAGTATAGTTGACATTGCTGGTCCAACCCATTTTCCCTCCCACCATATATCTCGTAGCTGATGCTTCTGGAAGTTCCATCACCACCACCAAGCACAAAAGCACCACCACCGCCGTAGCTCTCTCTTTCTCCATTGCTCTCGCTCACTCTATCAGTCTTTCACATGCAGTAGCAGTTGTTCTGGAAAGCTCTGTCTAAAAAAGCACTTTGCTTTTGAGCTTTTTGGGCTCTTAATTTTTGTTGGGCGGTTTGATTTACACGAGGTTTCAGTTTCAGGATCCACATGTACCGTGGGCTACTTATCCAGATAATTCGGGTCCTATAAACAATATTATATTTCTCATATTTCAACTTTTATGTTAAAAAATGTTAAAGCTGTGCCTGTTCACAATGGAAAAAGATCTCATCGCCAGATCATTTTCCTAGGGATCCAACAATCGTATTTGTTCATTGTACATCGTACGGTTAGTTTTCATTAGATACTATTTATATTTGAATTTTAAATTTTAAATTTTAAATGATTTCTGATCGCACGATGTACGATAAACGGATACAATTATGGAATTCCTATGATCCCTAGAAAAAGAATCTGGCGAGGATCCTTTTGCGTTCATAATTGCAAGAACCTAATTGTTATACATTAATTAAGATTGAGTGTTTAGTGATTAAAAATAATTAAATTGAGATCAAGTGTTGGTTGATTACAATAACCTAATTGTTATACATTAATTAAGATTGAGTGTTTAGTGATTAAAAATAAGGGGTTTTTGAACATTAGTCCTTGCAAAAGATTAAAATTAAAAAAAAACTGATGCTAGATTAAATATTCAATTTAATCCCTTGAGTGTACTTTTATCAAAATTTACACTCAATTTTTCTTATTTAATGTGTATTTTTATTTAATCTCTCCATATTAAATTTTAATTTTATTAATATGTACATATTTAATTTTTTAATTAGAAATGAACGTAAATGAGAAAATATTAAAAAAAATTGTGATACAAAAATATATAGATACATAAGTGTATATAAATGATTGTACCAAATTATATAAAATTGACTTTTTTGTACCAAAATATTTGTACCTACATGATTGTACCGAAATATATTATAATGAACCTAAATGTATGTATTGAAATGTATTATATTGAATTAATGTACCTAAATGTCAATACCGAAATGTATGTACCAAAATGTACGAACCTAAATGTCAATACCGAAATGTATGTACCAAAATGTACGAACCTAAATGTCAATACCGAAAATGTATATATGTACCTAAATATTAATACCAAAATGTATGTACCTAAATGTATTTACCGAAATAATAATTGAATTAATGTACCTAAAAGTCGATACTGAAATGTGTGTATCAAAGTGTACGTAACGAAATGCATTATATTGATCGAAATGCATTATATTGAATCAATGTAACTACATGTTTGTACCGATAGATATACCAAAATATTTAAATGTATTAATGTACCTAAATGAAGAACATACAAAATTGTTACCGGAATATATATTATAAAAAATTTAGTTGCCTAAATGTAGACATTAAAATATATTATGATGAATGAAATAAAAATTAAATTTAAATGTAATTAATACATTAAAATAAAAATAAAAAGATAAAATAAAACATCAAAATACAACTAATAAATGATATGATTAAACGTGCTAGGGACTAAAATTGGATTTTAATCTTACATATGGTTATAATCTAAAACTCATCTTTTTTAGGGATTAAAATGAAGTTTTCTATAAAAATAATTAAATTAAGATCAATTGTTGGTTGATTACTGTGTTCAAACTAGGATAATGGGACAATCGTCTTTTGTCTGAATGTGCAGTTGTGAGTAATCTTAAGTTTAACGGCAGTTTCACTGCTTTTGAAGTAAATTAGGCAATCTTTACGTTAAATCTTACAACAAAATGGTGAAATCCGGCTCAAAGTTGCTTGTGGGTTATAGATTTCTTTAAACAACCAAACAATGAGAAGCGAAATTCGATGATGAATTAAGTGTGATTTTGAATCGCACAATCATGTTGTGTTATTAATTTACTTATTTTATAATACGCATGTTTGTAGTCCATGACATGCCAATTATGTAGCACAACTCTATTAAAACACACATATTATGACCGCCACGTGATCATACTAATCCAGAATACTAACAAACACGACATAGCTAAGGCATGTTTTCAACTTTAACGGCAATCTTCATGCCACTGTAGCAGAACCCATTGCTACTAATGAAGTAGTAGTGCCTTGGCTCATTCAGTGGAACAATATCTCTTCCGGCTCCGGTGGTCCAGTTGTGAAGGGGATGTTCAACATTGCACGAGACATAGTTTGTCTGGTTTACCTCTAGAACATCATTTTGGTTCCTATCATACACAAAAACTGGAGGGAAAAGAAAAACAGAATTACCAACTACTACTAGCATAAAATACATAGTTTTCTTAGAAGTAAATTAATATTTGTTACTTGTTTATTTGAAGTTTTCGCATAGTGTTGGACGAACTTTTACTAAAGAATTGATTTTCACACACTTCTGTTCATTTTTAGGATTTTTGTTTCATCCACTACACTTTAGAACTAACCAAAAGATACATTAAGATATGAAGGTAAAATTGTTGTATGACAAGCATATAAGAAGACATTGGATTTTCTTCACAGCAAAAACCAAAAGACACATGCATTCTCATAACTTGAATAACCAAAATTGTAATTTTCTTTCTTTCTTTTCCCTGCGTTTTTCAGCGGGAAAAACTGAATTTTAACTTACCTTTACACATCAAGAAACAAACTTTTAATAAAAAGTGCTTTTAATTCATCAAATAAAAATGGAAAAGCGGATTTTAAGCACAACCCATTAAGCCATTTTCACATCTAACACACTATCATCAACCAAAGAAAAAAAAACTTGAGCTAATACTAACAAAGAACAAAAGGCATTGACAGAAAAGCAAAAACTCAATGGATTTGAGAGAAGGGAAAGGAAGATGAGCTTACAGAGCCAGTCTCCATTGTAAAAGTGCTTATCCTGAGCCCAAATAGTATAGTTGACATTGCTGGTCCAACCCATTTTCCCTCCCACTAAATATCTCGTAGCTGATGCTTCTGGAAGTTCGATCACCACTGCCAAGCACAAAAGCACTACCACCACCATGGCTCCCTTTCTCTCCATTGCTTTCTCACTCTATCAGTCTCTGATAAGCAGTTGCAGTTGCTCTGGGCAGCTGTGTCTAAAAAAGCACTTTGCTTTTGAGCTTTTTTAGCTACTTATCCAGATAATTTGAGCTACAGTATGCTCTGTATTTAAACCATTCCTAAAACAAAAGAATATTTCTACTAATGCTTAATGTGTAATGAATGACATCTTTTTCTTTTGCTAATGTTAAGCTAGATGCATAAAGTCTACACATTTACACTCGATGCTCCGTATTTAAACCATCCCTAAAACAAAAGAATATTTCTACTAGTGTCTAATGTGTAATGAATGACATATTTTTCTTCTGCTAATGTTAAGCTAGATGCATAAAGTTTACACATTTACACTCGATGCTCTGTATTTAAACCATCCCTAAAACAAAAGAATATTTCTACTAGTGTCTAATGTGTAATGAATGACATCCTTTTCTTCTACTAATGTTAAGTTAGATGCAAGGTCTACACATTTACACTTGATGCCCCGTATTTATACCCCCTCCCAAAAACAGAAGAACATTTCTACTAATATCTAATGTGTAATAAATGACATATTTTTCTTCTGCTAAGGTTTGGCCCAAGCAATCAAGGTATGAAAAGCAAACCAAATCAAAAGGGTTAATGGTCGTTTGGCACGTTGTAAACCATGTGCCGTTACAGCTAAAAGCACAATTGCACAAGACCCAAATCCAGTCCACCTGCTTTTGCTGTGCACATAGTTTAGCAACAGGGACATAATTTAAAGAGGGTAGTTTCCCTCAGTCCTCACTCTGTAAATGTTGCATGAGAATATTTTTGTAAGAAGGACATAATTTACAAGTACTTATATTGTGAATTCTTCTAAGAGAAACATAATACACTTGGAAATATGTTTCCTAAGAAAGCGCTTCTATAATTTAAAAGTACTTCTAAGTACTTCTAAGTTTTCCATCACGTATATTCATAAGTGGTTTTGGTTGTTAAAAAATATTTTTAACCCTTTCAGAAACAGTTACAAACATAACCTCACTAGCCCTCCTTGCTTATAATAGTGTGTGAAAAAGTTTACACCTTGAGAAGTGAGTTTTGAATATTTTCGAGCACCAATAACAGTCTTCAATTGGAACTTCGAAAACAAAAAAATGTTGGGGATGGCTGTCTAGAACAAGCCCAACAGTTTTAGTTGGGTGGCACTAACATTCAGTAAGCTAGAGTGGGCTACAAAACTTACACATATATATAGATAGATAGACTGCAAAACGACCTGTACTTATTTTAATCATACAACAATAACATGTCTTTGCACCCCTCTTAGCATCCACATCAAATCGTAAAATTATAGGTAAAAGCATAAGCAGCTCCCCATACTTCTGAAAATAAGCACAATTTCAAAAAGCACAAATTTCTGTACTTGGATAGAAATAGATATTAAATACTGGTTTAACTTTCTCTCAGTCCAACCTTCTTAACAAGTATTCCACTTGAACTTCCTTTGTCATTGGCATGATCCAATCCCCATATAAGTCTGCAACCAAGGTTGGTTTTATCTTATAAACCAGGTTGGGATTTTTCTTTTCCCCTTCGTACAAGGTCACTTCTTGCCCGTAAGTTTTCGCCTTCATTTCCACCCTCTTTATGATTGCCTCCTCAACCGTTGGATAAGTCAACAAAGCCATCACCTTGTCCCTGTTCTGAAAAAAATAAAGAATACAGACTAAGAGCGCGGAACATCCAAAACTAATTGTGACAAAAGGATAGAGAAATACATTCAAGACCATGTACCTGTTCGATAATGGCAGCTTCATAGGCATTTGGATTGGATCGAAATTTGCACTCTGCAACAAATTTACCATAATGGATTCTCTTGGACAGAGCCTGCCATCATAGCAATCCCGGTAAGAATTTAGAAATGCTAATTTAAAAACTACTCGCAGTTAATTACTGAATCTATTAAGAGCAAGAAATCACGTGCATAATATTGTGCTAAGGGTAAGATTAGGTACAATTTGAATACCTGCAAGCACATTGTGTCACAAACAGCAGTTGAACCGTAGTTACCATCATCTCCTTCTTTAACCAGTCTTGGAATAATATCTCTGAAGTACATTTCCCAAACTTTTCTGTTTATGTTAATAGAGTTGGCAATGGGATGCAGAACCTGTTTTCAAGTTGGACATATATATTCAGATTCCGAATGAAAGTAGTTGCCACTCGGAAAATGAGAACAACAATTGCCGTTGCCTTGCAACAATGGTAGTACAAATAGGACATGCAGAAAGCGGGGAGATAAAAAGAAAGTTCTCCTATTGGAAGGGCTACATCATTGTAGTGAATTTTCAGTTTGACAATGACCAACAAGACGTTTCTTTAACTGTTTCCCATCGGCGTTAGATTTTAAATGTCTAGTTTTTCGGTTAAATCAAATTTTTTTAACATATTTTTTGCTGCAGATGGATACACATAATTGACTACCATTTTAAATTGATCTAGGAGTGTTACAGAGCAAGTTATCTATTAAATAGCTTCGGATGTAATTTTCTTTTGAGCATGTAATACCATCAAAAGACTCCGTTTTCTTTGCTTTAGACCATGTTGAGCTGAACACATCGGCCAAAAAAGAAAACAGAGCCCCCATGTTCAACACAACTTTCTCGATCACAATCAGCCCCGTTCAAGTTATTTATCAGACCTTTTCAAATGTTTCTCATAGTTTGTCCCTTGCAGCCTTGCAGGAGAGGGATAATAACCGTATGTTTTCAGAATTTTCTAAACTATTACATATATTCTTCAAATTATATAAAAAACTGAAAACAGCCACATGGAGGATCTGGGAGGCCATCGCCGCGCCAGGCCTGCATGTGGCCCTGCTGCTTTCCTTAAGTAAAGATAATCACAAGCTTGGGCATAATCAACTTCATTGTTCCAAATGTATGTTATATATTACCTGGGGGTAGTGCAGAGGTGGCAACACTGGTTCAGGTACGTCATTCGGAAAGAAAGGATGCTCATCAGGACTGCTGAATCTTCCCACCTAATAGCAATGCAAAGACAATAAGAAACCCCACAAGTCCTTTTTTTTGAGTGTTCTTAGTGTTCATGTTAAGATTTAGCATACCTGGCCATGAAGTTTTTCTGTTTCTTTAAGAATGTGTTCTACCAAGGAGCCGTGGAACCCATCAACGGGGAAAGCATTGGGGTCATATGTAGGCAAATTATGACAATATTGAGCTCTCTCTAACAGGCTAAAAATTATGCTATCCTCCTGCCGGATCAAAGAATGTCTTATACCTTCTAGTGTCAAACTATCGGTTTCATCCACCCTTTTCTTTGTAGCCAATGATCTTCACAAATAGGTAGCATAGTATTAGAATCTAGCCAAAGTAAATTGAAAGCAAGACGCTCCAATCAATAATATGCTTTTTTATGACCAACGATGGATTTAATTTTTAGTGACTACAAGCATACGTTTTTATGCAAAACCATCAAGAAGTACGTACCAGATTTCTAACAATTTAAGCCACAGTCATAGTATTCAAGTGTTGAAACTTTTTAGGCAAAAATAACACTGAAAAAGTTAAACGATAGTATTTTCATTCATAATTCATGGTAAAAACAAAATTGCAAACTATAGTTGTCCACGGCTTTTATAATTTGAAAACGCAACATTATATCTTTATCAATACAAGAAAAAACATATTTTTCACCGTAAACAATTAATGTATCACTCAACTAACCGGAAAACTTGAACTATAACCGAATTACTTGGACTAGAAATAACCGGAATTCTTGAACTTGAATTAACCGGAATACTTGAAGAAGCCCGACTAATTAATCAATCTATCAAGCAAAAACTCCATAACAATTAACCAAAACAATCAAGTACTGGAATTCTATTTCAAAATAATATCTTTGAACAATCAATGCAGTTCATATGAATTGGAGTTACTGAACAATTGGCATAGTTGGATAATATGTGCACAGAAAAAATAAAATCATGCCAATTTCCAGGAAAAAGAAAAACAATACAAAAGCAGAATAAACATAGAAATCTCATAAAACAGAACAACCAACAGATCCATAAAAGAACAAACATGGAAAATCATAAAACCCAACAAGTTAAGGCAAAAGGGTTGCTGTATTTGTACCCAATGGAGGTCGAAGCAGCCTGGACAGATAAATTTGGTTTCTTTGGCAGGGAATAATTGAGGCATGCGAAACTGTTGGATTGCATTGCTTTCAAGGGCAGTAAATAATTGGGTCTTGAATTGGAAACGTGGGGAGCTGAAAGAGTGGCAGGAGAGGAGGCCATCAGCAACTTAGCCTCCATTTATGAGAGAGAGAGAGAGATGGGCTCTTTGAGAAATCAGGAGAAAGAATGAAGGAATTGGACTGGGACTATGGTGGTGGTGGGAAAGGAGATGGAGAGGGGGGTAGGTGTGGAGGTTGAATTGGAGGTGGGTAGGCTGAAGAGAGCATGCACCAACGCAAAAAATGATCCCTTCACATTACTTTTTTGTGTTTTGTGTGTTTAGTGAGACTTCTGTCTTGATTGGTTTGTTAGATGTCAGCATGTGGGACATTTGAGTTTGAGTTTGAGTTTGAGTTTGAGTACGTTTTTATTTAATAATGCAATATAATGTGTAAAATTTTCTTTACACAATATTGAACTCTTTTCATCTCATTTGTTGTTCTCTTATTGAAATAAAACTTACTTGATATGTCATGATTGCTACAATATTTTAAATCAATTACGTATTATGCTACGAATTAAACACGCATAATTATATTAAAACGTTAAAACATATAACCATGAGGGAACAAATAATAGTTCTCACCAATCCATTTACGGACTACGCACTATACTACGGATTAAGCACGCACAATTGTCTTCCACAAATTGTGAGTGGTTGGTTGGTGGATGGAACAACTTGAGAAGTATCACTTCACAGGGAGTTATTTAAGAATAAAGAAAAAGACAAAAATGGCCATGAGCTCTCCACTTTCATTCCTAAAACCTCTTATTACATGACACTTGTGAGTTTAACAACTCTCGATTGATTAAATATTGACTGATCACTTGAGTTTTGTTCTTCTTTTATTTTTATTTGAATTAACATTTGCTTTGTTTAAGCATTCAGTGGTGAAAGAATGTAAAGAGTGGGCAGCTCGGGCATATACTCTTAATTAAGTGTTTTCCAGAAGGAAATATGTAAGAATAAACTATCCTATAGCATCACTATGGAATTCAACAATCAAAATTAGTTCATAGGGTGACATTTTTGACACACTCGTTTTTGTATGTTTGCACTCTTAGAGTTAGTACACTCCATTAAAGCAATTATTGTCTAGGCAATTGGACAAACAACAATATTTGGCTAGTCAAAGATTAGTAGGAATTCTTAGTCAAATTTTTTCAAAATAGTTCATTGTCAATTTATAGAACCTCGTATTTATAATAAGAACTGTTCAAATTATAAATCATCATATAAAGATCGTATTTGTAAAAAATCAATTAAAACTAAGGTCATTTAGTCATCAAACTTTTTAAAAACAAATGAACGGTATTACTAAAAGTATTACAAACCTTCTATGTACTTGCTATAATAGATTGACTAAACGACTTTAATTTTAATTTATTTTTTACAGAGTTGATCTTTACAATGTGATTCATAGTATGAACGGTTCTGATCATAAACACAAAGCTCTGTGATTAAAACACTAAGAGTTTTGAGTAGGAGTTCTTACTCATCTTTGAGCAGCCAAGTATTGTTCTTGAACAAATAGTGAATAGTAATTATTATGCATCTGCACCCCATAAAAGAATTGCCTGGACAATTAGTATTAAAACTCTCTCTTAAAAAATAATAATAAAAGATAATTTTATGTTTAATTTCAAATAAGTTTTTAACAAATCCCGTCACACCACGTGTCATTATCCGAAATTAAAATTTTAGTGGATAGATTTTTGGTTAGATTTGTAATCAATCCTATAACGCCATGTGTCATGATCCTGTAAGAGTTGTGGATAAATTTCCGACAAATTTTTTAACCAATCTTGTTAAGTCACGTGTCACTATTTGTTCAAAATCTTTACGGATAATTTTCGATAAGATTTTAACTAATCACAGCGTGCCACGTGACATTATCTACAACCTCATCTTTTTTTTCCCTCCATTTAAACCCTACATCCAACCTAAACTCACATACCAAATTCCAAATCTCTTGAATCCTTTTTCATAGTGTATAAATCTTGAGTTCTTACAATTCTTCTTCAATGACATTGTTAGAAATCGAATAGCAACATAATGAACTTTTCAATCTCGAGGAGCAAGAAATGAGTACATGTGCAAGGGTATAAAATTATATATAGGAGTACATGTGCATCTTCAGATGGTGTGTAACTCTTCAATTACACCCATTGAATTGGACACATTGCTTCCCCAAAAGCTGCCTGTAAGGTTACAACTTTTCATGCTAATATAACCTTCAAATGTGATGAAAAGTCACAAATTCCTCGGTGTTACAATTCTGCAAAAAGCAATTTTCCAAAGAGGCTGTATCATGGCATTGCCTTTGGATATTGTATATTATCCAAGCCTCCGAGGATATCACGTTGTTCAGTAAGCATGCTTTTACATCATCTGTTACTGGTCAAGGAATCGAAGGTTTATAAACGGCAATATTGGAGATTGTTGGTCTCGACAAAATTTGTGTGGGTAGCCACAGACTCAGTCCCCATGACAAAATCCTATCAAAACTTCAGAATTATGCTCATTAGCCTGAAACACATTTCTGCAGTAGAATACAACTCTTGAGGGTCCGTTTGGTACGTGGGACGGACGGGACGGAACGGGACGAGGCGTTCCGTCGTGCGTTTGGTACACTAAAAATGGATGGAACACGTTGTTCCACGGGACAAAAATTTGGTGTTTTTGCGTCCCGCCTCCCCCTGGAACGGGTTGTTTCACGTATGTGGAACACAAAAACTCCACTGTCTACCCTCCCTCTCTCTCCCGCATCCTCCCTCTCTCATGTAGCCTCCTCCTCCACCACAAACCCAACAACCCAAATGCTTCGTTACCCAAACGTAGCTTCGTTACCCAGCAACCCAGATGAATTCAAGCTTGATTTCGGGCTTTCCGGGCTGAGTCGAAGACGAATCCGCCAAAATACCGGCAAAACAGACTGAAACGTAGTCGATAAATTGGTTTTGAAAATAAATTGGGAATAAATTTAGTCGCCTCGCTCTCGGTGTCACCCATTGAAGCAGGTTTTCGCACTCTGCAGCTAAACAATGGGTTTGGGCGGGACAACCTTGCAAACCCTGAAGCTCGCCCCAATTCCTCCACCTTCATTTTCTTCTTCTTTCCGCTCCGTTTTCCCAAACCTTTCTCTGCCGCCATAGCCGCAAACAAAGACTTCCACTTCCTCCGCCCTTCTTCGTCAGAGGCCTTTCAGCCCCGGCCGCACAGGCAACTGCCATCGCATCCCCAAAAGAAACAAGCCCAGATGAAAAGGGTTCGATCATTTCACAACCCTATTTGTAGTTTGAATAAATTGGAGCTTAATTTTTTATTTTTCTGGTTAATATATTGTGTTTTTCTTTGCGGGGAGATGCAGGTGTGAAGCAGCAATGGAAAGCAGCGATAGACTTCAAATGGATAAGGGACAACAAGGGTAAGTTAGTCATTTAATCCAGTTTCGTTCTATTCCATCTTGCCAGTACCTAACATGACATGAATCTTTGTTTCGTCCCGTCCCGTCTGCGTACCAATCGCTAGCTGAGAGCACAAATTCGACAGGAAGAATCCCCCCGGTGACATATGGAAGAGGGAAAATTTGAAATGAATAGCTCCTGTAAAAAAAAGGTGTAATTAGCTAGATTCAAATGAAACGTTTTAACTCACCATGTTGGCCATAACTTGCATAAACAGCATTGTTAACGACACCGTCTTGATCAAGTTCAGAATCCCGGACTTTGAGCTCAACAACTCACTCATTCTGCAAAGTCCAAAAAGGCCAAGGCTTTAATTAAAAAATAAATCCTTTCAGCGACAAAATTAAGGCTCGTTTGATATCCATTTCGCGTTCTTGAAACAATAACCAAAAACTAATAACGAAAGCACGAGGATTATAGCTCAAGTCGGTTAAGAGCATTCCAGAGTTCAAATCCCCTCCCCAATATCGTTTGTATCGAAATGGTTATCAAACGCAACACCAAAAATCTAAAATTCAACGAACAAAGTGAGAGATTTAGGTACATTATACTATTTTCATCTCACAATCAACAAAACCGTGATATTTCGTGTAAGAATTGCAATGGTATGACGATTCGAATACATACATAGAGAATGCCGCCAAATTAAACAAGCAACATCTCTGCAGCTCCGCCCGGTCAAAAGTGCTCGGCAGCTCCGCTCGGAGCAGAGACAGAGACAGAGACGGAGACGGAGGTTGCGTTGGGCAGGTTTTGTTTGGATCTGTAAACCCAGCGAATCAAATGAGCAAAGAAAAAGCAATCGAAATCAGCGTTTAAGTTCTAATTAACCCAGAAACAATAACACAAAGCTAAAAATGTGAAATTAGATCTGTTTACAATTGACTATTCACAAATTAAAAAGGAGAGATAAAAGAAATGCCAGTGACTTACGGATTGGATAAGAAGAAAAAGGACCTGCTTGGAATTTTCAAATTTTTTCCCTTCTGGAAACATCTTCGTCGTTCGCACGAAAATGCCAATCCGTCTAAAACGTACAGGACAAAATTGCCCTTGCCAATATCAGCCCAAATCTGATGATTTTGTTGTAAATATCGTGAGACTGTAGCTAAGTTACAGTCAATTGCTCCTGCCATCTACCCCTACTTTGGGCCGTTTTGGTCCAGGCCCTTAGGCCTTTGGGCCATTTAAATGCAAAAATTTGTAGAATGGTAATTTGGTAAATAAATCAAAATCAGGAAATTTGCTCTGTAGCTTATGAATATCAGCCTGATGGCAATTTTGTAAATAAATTGAAATCAACTCAAAATTGCACAGTGCCACTCTCCTCCCTATTTTTTTTTTTGAAACAAGGAAAATCCCATTCCAAGGCAACAGTCACCATACACAAGGAAAGTCAGATAACCTGACCAACAAAACACAAACAAGCAAGATAGGGAATACATAAGACGCTGCCAAAATAAGGCTAACACGTCATCCCACCCCACACCAAGCCTACCTAAGAAGGACAAGATAAACCATCTTTGTTCAAAATCCTCACCAACGAAGATGGGGTCTATTAGACTAAAGTAATTTAGGGAGGCTATGGGCAATTAGAACTCTTGCTAATCCACAGTGGATTGAAACTTACTTCCAATTCTTCTTTTAGTGATTATTAATTTTCAGGGCTTCCACAAATCATGAGTTACACTTAAAAGTATGTCATAGCTTCCCAAGCTAAGTAGAAGATGTGGAGAACCTATTTAGTTGGGGACTACAATGTAATATGATATTTCTCTATATCAAATACTCTTGATCACATTGTTTGGTGATGAACGAGGATATCTGAGATAAAGTATGAGGGCTGCAATTGAAGATAAGATGAGAAAACATCGGTTAAGGTGGTTTGGACACGTAAACCGAAGATCTATAGATGCTCCGGTTAGAAGATGTGAGTATAAGAGGGAGGCTCAGGGTAAAATGGGTAGATGAGGACCTACAAAGACTTGAAAAGAGACTTTAAGAAAAGATATGAAGTACTTGGAGCTATCGGAATACTTAGAGCAAAACTAAGTACGATTGCGTTCTAATATTCATATAGTCGATTCCATTTAATAGGATAAAGTTTGGTTGTTGTTGTTGTTGCTGCTGTTGTGGTATTATAGTAATTTTAAGTACTGCTTGGTTATCGCATCAATTAGTATTACAGTACAATCAATTTGTTGGAAAGCGAAAGAACATTGATACAATGATAGCTAGCGGCTGGCAAGTTTTCTTTCTCTGTAGCCTGTAGACTACGAGTCTTGGTCATGTTTTCCTGAGTCCTTTGCTTGATTGCTAAGCAAAATATCAACTATAACTTACAGGTGTCCAGGTGTCTGTGCCATTTTCCCCTAAAAAAAGGAAGAAAAAGAAAAAGCACATGAATCATAAAGTAAATGAAAGCATTGATACTCGGTGGGTGGCAAGTTTTCTCTCTCTCCGCAGCCTGTACACTACTAGTCTTGGTCAAGTTACTTGCTAAGAAAAATATTTCAGTACATACTTTAAATAAAAAAGAGGGCCATGCTAATTGAAGCCATTGGCTTCATCAGTATTCCTTAAACTCGAGTCATTGCGAATATCATCCGAAGATCGATCTATTTGTACGTAATGGATCGTCAGGACGAGAGTAATAAGTTGAACAATTATGGATTTGCGGCAGGTCGAGGCTTAATCAATGTCGTATTCTCTTGGTCACCTAAGGATGTTCTCAATGCAAAGCTTTACGAAAATAAGGTTAATTTGTTTTGTATTGTGTCAACTGTCCGGTGCTTACTAATTTCTTTCTTATTCGATTATGTACTTGTCGCTCGTATTGTAAAATTGCAACGACAATTTTCCTTTCATTTCAACTTACAGGTGACAAAGATTCCTGAGACATTTTCTACCACGACGAGTTACATGAAATCTTTCATTCCTTCACTTGTTGAGGAAACACATGCTGATCTACTATCAAGCATGACAAATCTATCTAAGGCGCCTACTTGCGAAATTCGGACTGTTACAGCTTCTGAGAAACATGGACCTCCTAAAATTCGGATTGTTACAGCTTCTGAGAATCATGGACCTCCTAAAGACTTGTTTTATGATGTTACTTGTGTAGGAACGTATGTGCCACAGGTTGGAGATCTCATTGCCTTGACTGATATTAAACCAAAATGCGTTGATGATTTGAACAGGTCCAGAAATTCGTATCTCATTGCGTATGTTCATCAAATTAGAGACAATAATCTCTCAATACTCTCGTCAAAGCATATAGATACAAGAGGATACACTTATGCTGCGGGAAAGAGGGAAACAATGCTTGCTGTCTATTTGATGAACATGACAACAAATATTCGTGTATGGAAAGCCTTGAATTCAGATGACGCAAACACAAATCTAATTAAGACTCTGTTGCAACTGCAACCCAGTTCATCACATGTATTAATCTTCTGTCATTCCTTCGACACCATGTGCATTAAACCTACTTATTCATTTTAGATTGTTCCTAATTCTTTTATGTCTGTCTTACAGGGTGGGAGTTCATGTACAATTTGCTTTTCTAAAGAAAAGCGCTTCGTTTCCCTTTCGACTAAATGGCCAGAAATGTGGTGTGATCTAAATGAATCCCAAAAAGCTGCAGTTCTAAACTCCATCAGTTTGAGTAAATGCCAACACCAAAATTCCATCAATCTAATATGGGGCCCTCCTGGGACTGGGAAAACGAAGACAGTCGGCATCTCACTCTTTGCCCTCTATAAGTTCAAGTGCAGAACACTAACATGTGCCCCAACCAATATCGCTGTGTTAGAAGTTACAGATCGACTCGTGAAGTTGGTTAACCAGTCTCTCAAGTATGATAAATATGGGCTTGGGGACATAATTCTATTCGGGAATGGTGAGCGAATGAAGATTGGTAGTTATAATGATCTTTTTGAGGTATTTCTTGATAGGCGTATTAGTATTCTGACCAAGTGTTTTTCCCCTTCGAGTGGATGGAATCATTGGTTAGAATTGATGATAAGTTTACTTGAGAATCCAGAGAAGCAGTATTCATTGTACATAAAGGAAAAACAGAAGCATGACGAGCAACATAAAGAAAGTGAAAGCAGCAACTCAACAAGCGATGATAAGAATGATTTTCTGACGTTCGAGGAGTTTGTGAAGGACAGGTTTGATTTCATTGGTGAGCTTTTGAAAGTTTGTATGGTAAATTTGTACACTCACTTGCCAACATCTTGCATTTCACTTGAGGTGGTGAAAGACATGATCAGAGTTGCAGGGTTGCTTAAGTCGATTCAATCTATATTTAGTTGTGCTGGTGTTGCTAATGAGCAGTTAAAATTACTTCAAGAAGATTGCACTCGTACTCTCAAGTCACTTCGTGCGTTTGCTGTTCCAAATTCGAATGATGCACAAACAATAAGAAATTTGTGCCTGGCAAAGGCTTGCCTAATATTTTGTACCGCATCAAGCTCTGCCAGACTGCATACAGAAGGAATGGTGCCCCTGGAATTGTTAGTCATTGATGAAGCTGCTCAGCTTAAAGAATGTGAGTCAACTATTCCATTACAACTACCAGGTCTTCGCCATGCTATTCTCATAGGAGATGAGAGGCAACTCCCTGCAATTGTTAAAAGCCAGGTTTCAGTTTTATCCTTCTTACATGCTCTTTGGTGTTCATATTATTAATTAGAAGCTTATATATATATAATTTGTCTCAACAACTGAATATATTTGATCATTAAACTGCTAGATCTCCGAGAAGGCTGAATTTGGAAGAAGTTTGTTTGAAAGACTTGTACTGTTGGGACACAAGAAGCACCTTCTCAATGTCCAGTACAGGATGCATCCTTCAATCAGCTTGTTTCCGAAAATGGAGTTTTACGACAATCAGATATTAAATGGTCCAAATGTCAATGAAGTGAGCTACAACAAGCGCTTCCTTGATGGAAAAATGTTCGGATCCTACTCATTTATAAACATAGCAAATGGGAAAGAAGAACGTGATCGCGGGAGTAGTCTGAAAAACGTGGCTGAGGTTGCTGTGGTTTATGAGATAGTTTCTAGCCTTTACAAAGGTTACTATTGTTGTAAGCTAGTTGATTATGTTCTTAATTTTTCTTGGAATATATATGCTGCTCGAAACATTCTTAGAGTATACCATTTAGTTTTCTTAATTTTTTCTTGTTTTTGACAGAATTCACTCGCACAAAAATGAAGGTTAGTGTTGGGGTAATATCACCTTACACAGCTCAAGTTAATGCAATTCAAGAGAGAGTCAAAGAGTATAGTGAAGTTCCGTCTGGCTCAGACTTCTCCGTAAGTGTGCGATCTGTTGATGGATTCCAAGGTGGTGAAGAGGATTTGATAATTATATCCACTGTCAGATGTAATGGAAAGGGCTCTGTGGGATTCCTCTCCAATCGTCAACGAGCAAATGTGGTTCTAACACGCGCAAGGTACTTCTTTGACGAAGTGCAGCTACTGAGTAATCGGTGGTTTTAAAAGTTAATTACTCGTTCTTGTGTGTGTGTAGGCATTGTCTTTGGATACTGGGGCACGAATCGACCTTGATTAACAGTAACTCAATTTGGAAGAAGCTAATTCTAGACGCGAAGAAACGAGAATGTTTTTTTAATGCGGATGAGGATGAGAAGTTGGCTCAGGCTATTTCCGCAGCCCAATCGAGTTGCGATGAAGATGATCCAATCGAGCACCTTGCAAGACCATTTTCTTCACTCAGACTGACTGATCGGACAGCTGAAACATCAACTCCAACTTACAGGTGTGTGCGCCATTTACTTCACAAATTACATATTTGTAGCATGACCGATTATTATACGTAATTAATGATAAACACAACCTTCTAATTTGGTTTCATTGATTTTTGTAATTTAAGTAGTAATTTTTATTTGTCTTTAATTTTTACCAGGAATAATTTTCGGCGCGGAGTTAGGTCCAGTAAAGTGATAAGGTGATGACTTAAGAGGTATATTAATAATTCCTAGTTTTCATGTACAAACATTAGATTGAAGTGCATTTCCTTTTAAGCCATCTTACTTTCCTAAAAGTACTTTGGTGTATGACAATTGACAAACGACTGAACCTTATGAACAGTGCATAGCAGTTGCAGCAGGTGTTGTGCGTAGCTCCAGGATGGAAGTTGTAGCCATTACACATCGTGCGATTTGGGATGATCATCGTCTTTCTCGGATGTAAAATAGTAGAACTTTATATTTTATCTTTCGTCGCTTGATGTTGCAATTCAACGAACGAAACAGTTATTTTTCGAGTTTCATTCCAAAACTCAAGTTACACTACTAGACAACAGCTCATCTACCACGACAAATTTATCACGGGCTTTATGTGCATGTTATAAAAAGTAAACGTTTATCATAGGCTTAGTCAACACGTTGTAGATAATAATATTTTATAACGGACAAGTAGTGGCCCGTTATAATAAAACAATTTAATACCACAGACTTAATCAGCACATTGTAGAAATATTAAACCACCGCGAATCTTGATTGTGGTAATATTATTTTTAACCACATTTAATGTTTGTGGTAAATAAAAAAATTCAATATGGTTAAATTACACGTGTTATTAAAAAAAATTTAGGAGGCACGATTGAAAAACTTCCCAAATTTTCAAATCTTTGAAATTTCACGGTACTCCGGCAATTCTCAAAATTTAAGTGAAATCCTTCATTTCCTATTACTTTACCTCTCTCACACGAACTTTTCTCTCATTTTTTTTTATCTTCTCTCCACCCATCACCTCTCTCTATCCATGACTCCTTAAATTTTTCTCTCATTTTTTTTTATCAAATTTTGTTGGCTATGGTCAATTATTAGACAATCTCTATGGAATTTGGTATCGAGAATTAAAGATCATTCCATTCTTTTTCTGTTAATGTGGATTGATGGCATGTTGTTTCTTCAATTAGTTATCTTTATTAGGAGGTTATGTTGTCTTTGGGGCATAATATTAGTATACAATATAGTTTTGATTGTAGTGTTTTCCTTTTTTGGGTGTATCATGTGGATTGTTGGTCCATTGCTGTTGTAGTTTGATGTTTAGCACATTTTAGTAAACTTCATCAAGCTTCCATAAAAACTAAAAAGCATTATTTTTATAAAGCTCTGCGTGCATGGCCTGCAAGTGTGTTTTTCCCTATTCCTTGTAGGCATCTCCAATTCATTTAGCTGGAAGGCAAGTTTACATTGAGTGTGTTTTTTAGTAAACTTTTATGTTTATGTTAATAGAGTTGGCAATGGGATGCAGAACCTGTTTGCAAGTTGGACATATATATTCAGATTCCGAATGAGAGTGGTTGCCACTCGGAAAATGAGAACAACTGTAAGATCTCACATCGTCCAAGGGAGTGATCCTTATATGTATATTCTCAACCCTGCCTAGCACGAGGCCTTTTGGGAGCTCACTGGCTTCGGGTTCCATGGGAACTCCGAAGTTAAGCGAGTAGTATTCCCATGATGGGTGACCCATTAGGAAGTTCTCGTGTGAGTTTCCAGAAACAAAACCGTGAGGGTGTGGTCGGCCCAAAGGGGACAATATTGTGCTACGGTGGTGGAGCGGGTCCGGGGAAATGGTCCCCCCAGGTCGGGATGTGACAATTTGGTATCAGAGCCTAACCCTGGCCGTGGTGTGCCGACGAGGACGTCGGGTCCCTAAGGGGGTGGATTGTAAGATCCCAGATTGCCTAGGGAAGTGATCCTTATATGTATATTCTCATCCCTACCTAGCACGAGGCATTTTGGGAGCTCACTGGCTTCGGGTTCCATGGGAACTCCAAAGTTAAGCGAGTGGCGCGCGAGAGCACTCCCATGATGGGTGACTCACTGGGAAGTTCTCGTGTGAGTTTCCAGAAACAAAACTATGAGGGCGTGGTCGGCCCAAAGCAGACAATATGGTGCTACGATGATGGAGCGGGCCTGAGAAGTAATCCCCCTGGGTCGGGATGTGACAATTTGGTATCAGAGCCTAATCCTGGCCGTGGTGTGCCGACGAGGACGTCGAGCCCCTAAGGGGGGTGGATTGTAAGATCCCAGATAGGCCAGGAAAGTGATCCTTATATGTATATTCTCATCCCTACCTAGCACGAGGTTTTTTGGGAGCTCACTGGCTTCGGGTTTCATAGGAACTCTGAAGTTAAGCGAGTAGCGCGCGATAGCACTCCCATGATGGGTGACCCACTGGGAAGTTCTCGTGTGAGTTCCCAAAAACAAAACCGTGAGGACGTGGTCGGCTTAAAGTGGACAATATCGTGCTACGGTGGGGGAGCAGGCCCGGAAAAGTGGTCTCCCCGAGTCGGGATGTGACAATTACGATTGCAGGTGCCTTACAACAATGGTAGTACAAATAGGACAGATGCAGAAAGCGGGGAGATAAAAAGAAAAGAAAGCTCTCCTATTGGAAGTGCTAGATCTTTGTAGTGAATTTTCAGTTTGACAATCTTTAGCTGTTTCCCATCAGCGTTAGATTTTAAATGTCTAGTTTCTCGGTAAAATAAAAAAATTTTAACATATTTTTTGCGGCAGATGGATACACATAATTGACTACCATTTTAAATTGATCTAGGAATGTTACAGATCAAGTTATCTGTTAAATAGTTTCGGATGTAATTTTCTTTTGAGCATGTAATACCATCAAAAGACTCCGTTTTCTGTGCTTTAGACCATGTTGAGCTGAACACATAGGCCAAAAAAAAAAAAACAAAGCCCCCATGTTCAACGCAACTTTCTCGATCACAATCAGCCCTGTTCAAGTTATTTATCAGACCTTTTCAAATGTTTCTCATAGTTTGTCCCTTGCAGCCTTGCAGGAGAGGGGTAATAACCGTATGTTTTCAGAATTTTCTAAAGCATTACATATATTCTTCAAATGATGTAAAAACTGAAAACAGCTACATGGAGGATCTGGGAGGCCATCGCCGCGCCAGGCCTGCATGTGGCCCTGCTGCTGTCGTTAAGTAAAGATATTCACAAGCTTGGGAAAAATCAACTTCATTGTTCCAAATGTATGTTATATATTACCTGGGGGTAGTGCAGAGGTGGCAACACTGGTTCAGGTACGTCATTCGGAAAGAAAGGATGCTCATCAGGACTGCTGAATCTTCCCACCTAATAGCAATGCAAAGACAATAAGAAACCCCACAAGTCCTTTTTTTGAGTGTTCTTAGTGTTCATGTTAAGATTTAGCATACCTGGCCATGACGTTTTTCTGTTTCTTTAAGAATGTGTTCTACCAAGGAGCCATGGAACCCATCAACGGGGAAAGCTTTGGGTTCATATGTAGGCAAATTATGACAATATTGAGCTCTCTCTAACAGGCTAAAAATTATGCTATCCTCCTGCCGGATCAAAGAATGTCTTATACCTTCTAGCGTCAAACTATCGGTTTCATCCACCCTTTCCTTTGTAGCCAATGATCTTCACAAATAGGCAGCATAGAATTAGAATCTAGCCAAAGTAATTGAAAGCAAGACACTCCTAATCTGCCCAGTAGTCAATAATATGCATTTTTATGACCAACGATGGATTTAATTTTTAGTGACTCCAAGCATACTTTTTTATGCAAAACCATCAAGATGAACGTACCAGATTTCTAACAATTTAAGCCACAGTCATAATATTCAAGTGTCTGAAACTTTTTAGGCAAAAATAACACTGAAAAAGTTAAACCATAGTATTTTCATTCACAATTCATGGTAAAAACAAAATTGCATACTATAGTTGTCCACGGCTTTTATAGTTTGAAAGCGCAACATTATATCTTTATCAATACAAGAAAAAACATCTTTTTCATCGTAAACAATTAATCTATCACTCAACTAACCGGAAAAACTTGAACTATAACCGGATTACTTGGACTAGAAATAACCGGAATACTTGAACTTGAACTTGAACTAACCCGAATACTTGAAGAAGCCCGACTAATTAATCAATCTATCAAGCAAAAAACTCCATAACAATTAACCAAAACAATCAAGTACTGGAATTCTATTTCAAAACAATATCTTTGAACAATCAATGCAGTTTATATGAATTGGGGTTGCTGAACAATTGGCATAGTTGGATAATATGTGCACAGAAAAAATAAAAGCATGCCACTTTCCAGGAAAAAGAAAACAATACAAAAGCAGAATAAACATAGAAATCTCATAAAAACAGAACAACACATAAAAGAACAAACATGGAAAATCATAAAACCCAACAAGTTAAGGCAAAAGGGTTATTGTATTTGTACCCAATGGAGGTCGAAGCAGCCTGGACAGACAAATTCTGTTTTTTTGGCAAGGAAGAACTGAGGCATGCGAAACTGTTGGATTTCATTGCTTTCAAAGGCAGTAAATAATTGGGTCTTGAACTGGAAACGTGGGGAGATGAAAGAGTGGCAGGAGAGGAGGCCATCAGCAGCTTGGCCTCCATTGATGAGAGAGAGAGAGAGAGAGAGATGGGTTCTTTGAGAAATCAGGAGAAAGAATGAAGGAATTGGACAGGGACTATGGTGTTGGTGGGAAGGGAGATGGAGAGGGGGTAGGTGTAGAGGTTGAATTGGAGGTGGGTAGGCTGAAGAGAGCATGCACCCAACGCAAAAAATGATCCCTCCACATTAGTTTTTTTGTGTGTTTTGTGAGACTTGTGTCTTGATTGGTTCGTTTCGATTTAATAATGCAATGTAGTGTGTAAATTTCTCTTGACACGACATTGAATTCTTTTCATGTTATTTCTTATCCTCTTATTGAAATAAAACTTACTTTATAGGTCATAGTTGATGCGATATTTTAAGTCAATTACGTTTTTATCTTACAGATCAAACACTTGCAATTATATGGAAACGTTAAAACATATAACCATGAGCGATTGACTTGAAACAAATAATAGTTCTTACCAACCCAATTACGCACTATATTACGGATCAGACACGCACAATTTTCTTCCACAAATTGTGAGTGGCTGCTTTAGGTGGATGGAACAAGTAACTGTTCTCACCAACACCATGACTTGCTCAGTCTGGTCTTCAATTTAAATGTGTTTTATGAACCATTTGAGAATTATGACAATTTTTTTTCACATGGAGTTAGTTAAGAAAAAAAAAACAAGACAAAAATGGCCATGAGCTCTCCACTTTCATTCCTAAAACCTCTTATTATACGACATTTGTGAGTTTAAGAATTATTTATTGATTAAATATTGACTGATCACTTGAGCTTTTGTTTTCCTTCAATTTTTATGTGAATTAACATTTGCTTTGTTTAAGCACTAGTGGTGAAAGAATATAACTGGGTGGAATAGTAGGCCGCAACTACTCTTAATTAAGCGTTTCTTCAGATGAAGAGATTTTTCAATGTATTTGAAATACATAACGATACACCACTTGTCATTATTCAATTGAATGAAGACTTGAAAACACTTTGCTCCACTTGCACAATAAAATATGGCGTACCACGAATTCTAGGCAGACTAAAAAATCACTCTTCCAAAAGGAAATGTGTTAGAATAAACTATATAAGGCTATATGCTTGTATAACAAGTTAAGAACCGTATATAAATTGACGACAAATTAAAACTATTTTTATTCCGTTTATAATTGTTACTTTGGCATACACTACGAAAATATGAAAGCTCGTTCTTAACAGGCAAGGCATAAGAAAATCAAGCGTGAGCAATACCCAGTAGTGGCACGCGTGTAATCAAAATCAACTATTCAAAGTTCACGTGGCCTCCTTGTAGCCCTAAGTGCAATTTTGAATAAACAATATTACCTACACTAATACCATCTCTAATGGTTGGGCTAAAAACCAAATATTTTAGCCTAGAAAATTTAGCTTTTAGCCTAGAAATAGCTTTTCTGCTCCAACCGTTCTTGCCTAAAATTTTAGCTCGAGATTATTAAAGAATGAATTTAGGCTATTATTTTTGTTAAATTAAATTTAAAAAAAAATATATGTAGACTATCGTAAATTAATTTTATGAACATTTTAATCTTAAAAAATTTAAATTCCGATTTCTGGGCTAAATTTTGGGGGGAATCTGGCCTCAGTTTAGCATTTAGCATTTAACCCAAAATTTTCCCTTGGGTTGGATTGGGTTTGGGCGAAATTTTGAGGGGTAATTTGGCTTTTAACCCACTATTGGAGTTGGTCTAAGAGGGTAGCAGAGTGAGCTAAGCATCATAATGAGTTAACAATAATGTGGTTTAAATTTATTTTTAGCAAGAGTCAAACCTAAAACCTTTCACTTATAAGTGAAGAGGAATACCACTAGATCGTAATACTAAATGGAAGCCCTAAGTGCAATCTTTAAAGCATTTGAGAATCACACTCGAGGGACATTTGTGTTCACCACCATCTCTCCATTCAAACTACCTAGACAACGCCGAGGAGTAGATACAATATTGGTATGCTCAAAACAGTACAATGATGCTTAAACAAAGGTATGCTCAAAACATGTGTGTTAAAAGGTTAATAACTTAAAAATTAAAATTTTCCACTATTTACATAAAAACACGTGGTGTACCATCTGTGTTCCCGCCATAACTAAAAATTTTCCGTATTTTAGGCAGACTGAAAAACCACTCTTCCACAAAGGAAATGTGTTAGAATAAACTATATAAGGCTTTATGCTTGTATAACAAGTTAAGAACCATATATAAATTGACGACAAATTAAAACTATTTTTATTCCGTTTATAATTTTTACTTTGGCATTCACTACGAAAATATGAAAGCTTGTTCTTAACAGGCAAGGCATAAGAAAATCAAGTGTGAGCAATACCCAGTAGTGGCAAGCCTGTAATCAAAATCAACTATTCAAAGTTCACGTGGCCTCCTTGTAGCCCTAAGTGCAATCTTTGAATAAACAATATTACTTACACTAAGAGAGCAGCAAAGTGAGCTAAGCATTATAATAAGCTAATAATAATGTGATTTAAATTTTTTTTTAGCAATAATCAAACCTAAAACCTCTCACTTATAAGTGAAGAGGAATATTACTAGATCATAATACTAAATAGAAGCCCTAAGTGCAATCGTCAAAGCATTTGAGAATCACACTCGAGGGACATTTGTGTTCACCACCATCTTCAAATACTAAAATCTTAATAGGCAATTGAACTTACAAACATAAAAATAGACCGCCAACATCCAACAAGTTGACCTCAGGAATTGGAGAGAGCAGCATAGGGTTCACAAATGTATCATATCACAAGCAATGCAAGCACTCTGTTACATGTATTTGTTCGGAAGTCGGGTTGGCAACATGTAACAGGCTTTGTCTGGGTTCGATTCCTCGATTCCTTGATTCCTACCCATTTGAATAATTCCTCGAGCCGTTCTTGGTTGGACCAACCCGACTTCCGACAAATCTTTCTGGCAAGAATCACCGCTGACAATAATTTTGCTCAATTTGACGAGATTAGTAGGAATCAAGTCTCAAAATAAGATATAATTAACAAGAAAATTTCATATTAGAATGCTCCATCATATACAATTTAGGATTTAAAAATTCATGCTAAGCTCTAAAAGCCTCAAAACGGTGCCAAATACTCAATTGACACCCAACCTTGCTGCAATTCTATCGGCTAGACAGGTACAACACGTGCCATATATTAGGGTGGATATGCACATCCATAAGCTACCGAAAACCACTCCTGCACTAGTAAGAATATCAACATCACCAAATCCAACACCTGTTATGGTCACAACTGATAGATACAGAGAGTTCTGTAAGCTCAGATTTGCTGTGTAATGAAACCCAAACCTCCCTATCAATACAAAGATAAATGGTGCCACCATTGGAGCTAACAACTCTACCCAACTTACAAAACCGTCCGAATTATCTCCGCTGATACCAAACCACAATAGTAATCTTACTACTAGATTAAGCAAAATATCGCATACGGACATCAAACATACTTCCCCCCAGTAGCTCAGAAGCACACAAACAAAATAACTCAGTAATTCCACGAATACTTTCCCCCAAGTGGTATTTGGAACTATATCGCCATAACCTACTGTTGTCATTGTTTCCGCCGTGATAGCGAGTGCTAAAACAAAACCTCGTAACTTTCTCCCTTTGTTACGGTCAATAAAATCTTGCCTAAACCAGAAGCATAATGATAAAACTATAGCATACATACCTGGCCAGATAAAGGCTTGCCAACGCTTGCAAGTTGGTGGTGGTGCTAGAGGTGGAGGTGGTGGAGTAAGTAGTGGAGGTGGAAGTGAAGGTGGAGGTGGAAGAATTGGCCATCGAAGTGGAGGGAAGTGTGGAAAGGGTGGTGGTGGTAATGGTAGTGAAGATGGAAATGAAGGAGGTGGAAGTGGTATAGGAGGAGATGGTGGTGGTAGAGATGGAGATTGAGGTGGTGCTATAGGTGGAAGTGGTGGCCATCGAAGTGGAGGGAAGTGTGGAAGGGGTGGTGGTGGTAATGGTAGTGAAGATGGAAATGAAGGTGGTGGAAGTGGTATAGGCGGAGATGGTGGTGGTAGAGATGGAGATGGAGATGGAGGTGGTGCTATAGGTGGAAGTGGTGGCCATCGAAGTGGAGGGAAGCGTGGAAGGGGTGGTGGTGGTAATGGTAGTGAAGATGGAAATGAAGGTGGTGGAAGTGGTATCGGCGGAGATGGTGGTGGTAGAGATGGAGATGGAGGTGGTGCTATAGGTGGAAGTGGTGGAGGAAGTAGTGGAGGTGGAAGTGGTGGCCATCGAAGTGGAGGGAAGCATGGAAGGGGTGGTGGTGGTAATGCTAGTGAAGATGGAAATGAAGGTGGTGGAAGCGGTATAGACGGAGATGGTGGTGGTAGAGATGGAGATGGAGGTGGTGCTATAGGAGGAAGTAGTAGAGGAAGTAGTGGAGGTGGTGGATGTGGTATAGGCGGAGGCGGTGGTGGTAGAGAAGGAGGTGGTGCTATATGTGGAAGTGGAGGAGGAAGTAGTGGAGGTGGAAATGGTGGAGGAAGTAGTGGAGGTGGAAGTGAAGGTGGAGGTGGTATCGGCGGAGGTGGTGGTGGTAGAGATGGAGGTGGTGCTATAGGTGGAAGTGGTGGAGGAGGTGGAAATAGAGGTGGTGGATGTGGTATATGCGGAGGTGGTGGTGGTAGAGATGGAGGCGGTGCTATAGGTTGAGGTGGAAGTGAAGGTGGAGGTAATGGTGGAAGAATTGGGCATCGAAGTGAAGGTGGTGGTAGTGGATATGGAAATGGAGGTGGTGGACGTGGATGTGGTATAAGCGAAGGTGGCGGCGGTAGAGATGGTGGAGGCGGTTGTGGAAGTGGTGGTGGAGGAGGTGGTGAAGATGGAAGTGAAGGTGGAGGTGGTGCAAGAGGTGGAAATGAAGGTGGTGATGGTGGTGGTTGTAGAGGTGGAGGTGGTTGAAGTGGAAATGAAGGTGTAGGTAGTGTTGGTGGAGGTGGTAAAGGTGGAGGCAATATTGGAGGTGAAGGCAGCGGGGGTGGAGGTGAAGGAATTGAAGGTGGCGGTGGTGGTGGTGGAAGGATAAGTTGAAGGAGGGGACCTACGGGCCTATTCTCAAATGGCACCGCGGGGAAAGGCAAGGGATAAAAAGTGGTGGCGATGGACGGCAAAAGAATGGTCGAGGCAACAATTACGAAACGAGAAATTGTACTGCGCAGGGTGATCAATTCCGTGTTGCTCAACCTCACCTTCATCCTGCTCATATTGATCATCATCACCTTTAAAATGGAACCATAACATTCCTCCGCTTCACAACCATCTCTACATTGCAGCAAGCAAACACAAGCAATCAAACCCCATTAAACAAACAAACCAAAAAAGATGATACCTTTTTAACATCATGATCGGTCTAAGATATTTCCAGTGAGAGACGGAACAAATTACAACATACATTTAAAACAAGATACACAAATATTCAAGCAGAAAACTAACAAAATAACAATACCCATTTAAACAAGATACACAAATATTCAAGCTGAAAACTAGATTATGGAACGACAATTTACTTTGCTTCATATAAAACATAAAAACAAAATATAAATTATCTCTACTCCCCCTCACTCCCATTTCCAGAAACAAAAGGGGAAGAAATTATGGTACAAGAAAGTGAAGCGAAAAGTGGACTATCCTTTTTGAACATTGTATTAAAATGCCAAAAATTACATTAAAAACGTACCACTGGAGCTCTTCCCTCGGGAATGAGGATGAATGAGGAGGTGAGCTGAAGGAGGACGAGTAGAGCTGAAGGAGGACGAGTTGAGCAGGGGTTTTATACTGAGATTTTTGCCGGGTTTGAGTTTGTACGGGTACTGTAAATAATCTCTCCAAGAATTTTAATAAGGGAACGGGTGGGTAAAGCTGGGCGGGCCGGTAAGAATTGCGCGGGCGGGCGGGCGGTTGGAATTTTGCTTATTGGATTCTGAATTTGGGTCATTGAATTTTGATCTAAACGGCTCACAATAAAAGAGTTCAAACAAGCTTACCGTAGAATTGGGTCCTCCACTCTCTACATTACTTTTGTCTCTCTCTCCCATCTTCAACCTCACCCCTTACTCATTTTTCCCCCTCTTCCCCACCCAGGACAAAATCTCAAATTCAAAGTCCGCCCCAATATCCAAAATTAATTAAAAAACCGTCCCAATGTCAAAATGATTCATGTGTTATAGTCATATGGCCAATTTAGTCCCCGTGTTTTCTATTTGGCTGATTTAGTCATCGTGTTTGTTTATGTTAGCCAAATAAAGACATTTCATTCAATCTCTTTTTTAAAAGTCATAAGAAAAATTATATGAGATATAATTACCATTTTTCTTTATAGAAAATGAAAATCAATGAGAAATAACACATATAAGAGATAAAACTTCCAATCTGAAAAAAATGATTAGGTTGTGACTTAGAAAAGAGAAGGAGTAATATTAGGGAGGAGGTCGGGGAGTAGGGAGGAAAATAATTTTTCTTTTAATTTTTAATTTTATTTCATTTTTAAATATTTTAAATCAAATAAATAATTTTATAATAATTTATATTTTTTTTATAGAAGATGCGACTATGGGACAGAGGTTCAGGGCCGAAGGGGTAGAGGAAGACCTAGGAAAACTTTGGAAGAGACTCTAAGAAAAGACTTAGAGTACTTGGATCTAACGAAGGACATGACACAGGATCGAGCACAATGGCGTTCTAAGATTCATATAGCCGATCCCACTCAGTGACTTGGATTTTCCAAGTCTCCAACCAAGAAGTTTTCCTCACTCGGGAAATTAAGGGAACACTACCCCAACCTACATGCTCCACTCAGAAAGCTTCAACAAAAGAAAATTCAAAGAACTTAGCGAAGAAGGCTTTGGTGTATTTAACACAATACGTTGAAATGAAGGAAAGCTTATTTATTGATATCCCCGATAAGCTACAAATATGTACATATACATGAGTCAAAATAAACACATAAGAGGGAGCCTTCACAAAGGTTGCTTAGGAGAAGTCTCAGCAGTCGGTAGAGCCCCAGAAAGAGAAGGCACCGGAGGGGGATCATTTGGAGCCTCAGTACTGGACAGAACCCTAGAAGGAGGAGGAGGCATCAGAGGTTGATCATTTTGGAGCTTCATTACGCGGTACAGCCCCAGAAGACGAAGGCAATAAATGCCTTTGGAACAACCCACAAATCTCTGATGATCAAGTAAAAACCTGACCATCAGTTTCCTTCATCTGGTCAAGCTTCCTCTTCATGTTTGTAGCATAGTCATGTGCGAGCCGGTGCAACTGTTTATTCTCATGCTTGAGCCCTCTAATCTCCTGTTTGAGACTCATCACTTCAGCCGCCAATGATTCAACTTGGCGGGTTCGAGCAAATAGGCGTTGGGCCATATTAGACACAGAACCTGCACACTGAACACTGAGAGCCAGCGAATCCTTAACAGCTAACTCATCAGACCGTTTGGAAAGTAGTCTGTTATCTTTGGGAGTGAGAAGGTTCCTGGCCACCACCGCAGCGGTCATATCATTCTTCATCACGGAATCCCCAACGGTAAGAGGACCAGTTGGGGAGACGAAGGATGGGCGCCATATGTTTGTCTGGAGAAGGCGGGGCTGCCTCTTCAACAAGGTTCAAGTCAAAAATGACGGTCGGAGGGGCCAGACATTTTCAAAGGTGTTGAAGAGAGAAGAGGTCGGACAAATCAAGATCTTAGAAGTGCAAGAATGAAGCTTCTACTGGTGGAGATTCAAGTGTGCTTTGGAACTTAATGCCAGCCTCTATAAAAATCTGCACTCGACGGAGCTTCAGAAATCAAAGAGGCGCCTGCTCAGAAATCGAAGAGGCGTTTGCTTTCTCAAAAGTTGGGCTGCTTAGAGATCACGAGGGTTGATCTCAGAAATGGAAGAGCCGTTTGCTTTCTCAAAAGTTGGGCTGCTCAAAGACCACGAAGGCCGATCTCAGAAATCGAAGAGGCGCTCGCTTTCTCAAAAGCTGGGCTCCCTAGAGACCACGAGGGCCGATCTCAGAAATCGAAGAGGCACCTACTTTTCCAGCCTTGTCAGCACCTGTCACACGCACACTCAGCTTTGCGGAAATTATGGGCATTCTGTCAAAGACTTCTGGGGAAGTAGAAAACACATGAATCTTACTGTTTCAATCACCCACTTCCCACACGCAACAATAGCTCATGGGTACCACAGATAACTTTGCCAAAGTTCTCTGCCAAAGTTGAGCACGTGAAGCTTGCAGCTCCCACTACATCGCTCTGACCAAGAAAGGGTAAAAGAATAGCAAAGAAACAGCACTAACAAAGTTTAGACCCATAAATTTTGAAGGTCTAGCTACCATATTATTACCCACAAGGGTAAAGGAACAGTACCACTGCTGGATAATTGGAAAGTCCATGTATGTCAACCTCTGTGCTTCGTGGCAAGGTAGACTAGCAAACATGCCCAACCTTTACTCACATTCGAGAAAACACTCCCAATAAGATTGCTTGCTCCAAAATCGAAGAGGGCACCGTCCTCCGAATCTAAAGAGCCAGACTCCCAACATGACTACTTTCTTAAAAATCGAAGAGAGGGTAAAAGGAACAGTACCATTGCTGGATAATTGGAAAGTCCCTGTGTGTCAACCTCTGTGCTTCGTGGCAAGGTAGACTAGCAAACATGCCCAACCTTTACTCACATTCGAGAAAACACTCCCAACAAGATTGCTTGCTCCAAAATCGAAGAGGCACCGCCCTCCGAATCTCGAGAGCCACTCTCCCAACATGATTACTTTCTCAAAAATCGAAGAGACACTGCTCCCCGAATCTCGAGAGCCAGACCCCCCAGCATGATTGCTTTCTCAAAAATCGGTGAGGCACCGTTCTCCGAATCAATCGAAGAGGCGCTCGCTTTCTCAAAAGCTGGGTTGCTCAGAGACCACGAGGGCCGATCTCAGAAATCGAAGAGGCACCTACTTTTCTAGCCTTGTCAGCACCTGTCACACGCACACTCAGCTTTGCAGAAATTATGAGCATTCTGTCGAAGACTTCTGGTGAAGTAGAAAGCACATGAATCTTACTGTTCAATCACCCACTTCCCACACGCAACAATAACTCATGGGTACCACAGATCACTTTGCCAAAGTTCTCTGCCAAAGTTGAGCACGTGAAGCTTGCACCTCCCACTACATCGCTCTGACCAAGAAAGGTAAAAGAATAGCAAAGAAACAGCACTAACAAAGTTTAGACACATAAATTTTGAAGGTCTAGCTACCATATTATTACCCACAAGGGTAAAGGAACAGTACCACTGCTGGATAATTGGAAAGTCCCTGTGTGTCAACCTCTGTGCTTCGTGGCAAGGTAGACTAGCAAACATGCCCAACCTTTACTCACATTCGAGAAAACAGTCCCAACAAGATTGCTTGCTCCAAAATCGAAGAGGCACCTTCCTCCGAATCTCGAGAGCCAGACTCCCAACATGACTACTTTCTCAAAATCGAAGAGAGGGTAAAGGAACAGTACCATTGCTGGATAATTGGAAAGTCCCTGTGTGTCAACCTTTGTGCTTCGTGGCAAGGTAGACTAGCAAACATGTCCAACCTTTACTCACATTCGAGACAACACTCCCAACAAGATTGCTTGCTCCAAAATCGAAGAGGCACCGCCTTCCGATTCTCGAGAGCCAGACTCCCAAACATGATTACTTCCTCAAAAATCGAAGAGACACTGCTCTCCGAATCTCGAGAGTCAGACCCCCCAGCATGATTGCTTTCTCAAAAATCGAAGAGGCATCGTTCTCCGAATCTCGAGAGCCAGATACCACAGACCACTTTTTCAAAGTGCTCTGACAGAGTTAAAACATGTGAAACTGGCAGCTCCCACTACCGTGCTATGACCAAGCAGGGTAAAGGAATAGCATTACTACTTGTTGTTAGGGAG